TTGATATCTTTAAAAAAATTTTAAAAACACAGTAGTAAAACAAAACTTATTCATGCCAGGTCATGAATTTACGCAAATCAAAACTCGGTTGTAAAGTGACATAATAGATTCAATCTTTTTATCACATACTTTGGAAAAAAGGTGAAAATGTATGAAACATGTGTGGAAAAAGTAAGCACCCCATGACTAATAGCTTGTAGAACCACATTTTCAAMCCAACTTCAACTTACAGTAAGACTTTTTTTTTCTAGCAAGACTTTGAAATAGCCATGCAGCCATGCATATACAAATTAAAGACTTGAGGAAGTCTTATAAAATCAAGTGGTTTAAAGTTCCTCTAAATCATGACTGTTACATAAAAATGATTAGTTTTGTTGCAAAACATGGTTCTACAAGCTTTTAAATCATGAAATTAACTTACAGTTTTACATTTGTTTACTTAATTTTCTGTACATTATTTTAAATTAAAGAATGACAAGATGGAGCCTTTTGTGTTTTGCTTTACACAAGATTAGATTTGTGTAATTGCATGACCTGGCATAAATTATTTGTGTTATTTTAAAGTGTAAAATCATGCAACTGAAAGTGGTGCAAATTCTTTTCATAGGACAGCATGTACATGGTGCACAACCAGAAATAAAAAAAGACACAAAATGGTAAATTCTTACCTGGTCTTTCCAAAGCAAAGCAGGCCATCTCTTCTGTATTTCCATCACCATGGGTTGCTCCTCCACCACCTCCTTTCTTCTCAAYGAGAAAGTTAAATCCATCTTCTCTCTGATGAGAGTACTGTCCACACGTGCCTTCTTGGTTGCTTCCACTAAAAGAAKTCTTTCCTCCTCAAGTGAGGCATCACTGTGCTGCTCTGGGTGTTCAGGAACATGGTTAACCTCTCCACGTTTAGCTCTTTTCAGGGTGTACTTAGTTGTGTCTCCATCTGCTTTCTGTTTCTTGTTAACAGAGACTTCACTGCAACCTGCCTCTCGCAACTTTGCTCTGTAATTATTGAGCTTGTTCCTAATGCTGACCAGCCAYCCTTCATAACCTTTTCCTTTACCAGGTTCTTTGAGGCAAGGGTATTTGAGTATCAAAGCATAAGCAATCGATTCAAGTTCATTATGATCTGGATAAGCCTTTAAGCCAAAAGCTACCTGAGCAACTTTGTCCAGAATTTCCATTTTTATATCTCTTGATACATCCATACCAACGTTGGTCTTTTCATATGACTCATTCCCTTTCCTTAGTTTCAGTTCTACATTAAGAGACAAAGAGGGAATTGGAAATGGATTTGGCCACTCCGATGAACTGCGTAAGTACCTTGAAACAGAGGTTGAAAGGTTACAGGTGGGATTTCCCTGTTGGCTTGAAGTGTCCAGCGAAGATAGGGACCCAAGGGACAGGCTGTCATTTTCTTCTGGCTGAGATGTTTTCTTCCACTTGATGTGTAGGACTGCACGGTTAAGGGGTAATTCTGATATATCAGACAAGTCACAGAGTGCATTTTGGAAATCAGGGTCCTCAAACTGTAAAAAAAAATCCCCCTGAAGCTTCAGTTTGTCTTTTATGGAATCAATTAGGGYGTCCACTGAGTCTGGAACTTCTGATAAATTGACACGCCGTGCTTCATCTTTTGAAATCACAACACGAAGCAGAAGTGCCTGCCAAACACAGAAGTTCACAACACTCTTAAGATTAATAACATGATTATTATATCAAGTGCATCTGCTATAGATATTTTAAGGAATACTTACCATTTTCTTTGCCTTTAATAAGGATGTGCCCTCAGCGTCACCCACAGCTTTCTTCCAACAGAATAAGCTGCCAAAGGACAGTAATGATTTAACTCCTCAACATCAAGAACAGCTAATTCACCATAGTTTGTGTCTTCAACCTCAAATGACCTATAATGTTCAGAGTACCAGGCCATGAGCTTTTTTGACAGGAATGACACTTTACCAGAGTGAACTACAATKCTCAAGATCTTGAAAAACTCAGGCTGCCCACAGCTGTACCCAGCCATGACAATCATGTTTTGAGCATATTCTGTTCCAAACAGCTGCACCTTACAAGCAACAGAGACTGTATCAGCATGTGGGAATTTTGCCTTAACAGCATTTCTTTGATGGACATCCAGACATGACACTTGAATAGCTTTTACTTTGTCAATGTACATATCTGATTTGAAGAGACAATGTCCATCGAAATGGTAGGCCATCAACTGCTGATGCTTTGTAGCTAAAGAGAGGAGAACATTCTTCATATTATGCACATCACGGGCGACCTTTTTGAAGAGACTATGTTTAGATTCAAATCTCATGGTCCAGAGATTTACCAGTGGGCCAAAACAGCGTATGAGGTGTGGGTAATGTTCAATAATATGATGTTTTGGTTTTAGAACAAAGTTAGGAAATGTTGTTGTAAGTAGTAAGTGATGATCTGACAGCTTGCATGCAAGGTAACATAAAGTTTCCTCTGTGAATTTATCTGACACAACAATTTCAACTATCTCTTTGAGATCCATCAGTATTTCCCATGATGGTTCATTTACAGGAACAAGACCACCAATCATGAGAGGAAGCAGTCGCAACAATGCCCAGTTTTCATGGGCATTTCCCCCAATAAGACCTTTTGAGAATGCAGCTTTAGGAATAATCTTAGGTTTGTTCACTTTGTCTGAGTGTTTGTATGGAAATGACCCAATGCTGTGATTAAGCCTATCAAGTGTGAAAAAACCTTTAGAAATTAAATCTCTGAGACACAACGCTAATTCAACAGGAATAACTCCTTCAAAGAAATCGTGCAAAATATCTGGAGGGAATCCTGTCACTGGGTGGAAAGAAGACAAATGCTTACTCAACACGCACTCTCTTTTCACTCCATTCACACTCTTTATAGCTTGGTTTTGATTAAGCTCTTCCAAAAATCTGTCATGCTGCTCAACAGTTCTCAACTGGAAATCTGTTGCCTTAACAACAGCTATCTGACTGTGACTTATCAAACAGAAACGACAAAATTTATCCACAGTAAAACTTTCCTGGAATCCTGCTAGGCTATGTGCTCCAAGATTATCTGCACAGACACAGAACACGTTTACCCCAAAGTTTTCTGATGCCTCAATACCCTGTTGTTCAATTACTTTTAAATCTTTTATCAGTGGCTCCAAAAACTTTTCATAACCAAACTTCCTTACATCAACACTTCTTCCTAAAGCTGCCAACTGGATAGAAGTTAGGCCAGCCCTAAACTTTGCTGGCAAATTTAGGACAATCCAATAAACACCAACTATTTTGTGGATCTTTCGTGATGTGCCTAATGGATTACAGACCTCAAATTCGTCTATATAGAGTGCCAAACTGATTTCTTTATCTTTCTTGGTGCAAAGTCTACTCTGTTGAAAATAAGAACTGTCCTGAAATGACTTGTAAACACCTGGTAAGTGTTCTTGACTGAAAACCAATGCACTGACAAAATCAGAGCACCTCAATAAATTTTGAAGCACTGATATTATTGGTATGTATACAAATGTATTTTTACAGTTTTGCTTATAAAGATACTCTACTGGTTCAATAAAAGGATAGTTCTGCTTGAAGTACAAGTTTCTTCTATAGTCAGTTGAGAGACAGCCTTTTTCTGATATTGCTGTTAGCAATGGATGAGATGAAAATATAGAATCAACTATTTCTTGAATAAGTGAGCTTTCTGTTGAAACGTGGTGTTTTCTGAGTACCTCTGCCACAGATGGAAAGCAAAAATTTTTTGAACATGTAAGTATATCATGGATTTCCTCAACTATTTTTTGAACTGCAAAACGGGAGACATGTAAAGATGTTTGCATTGAAAGAAAGAGAGTAGCAATTTTGTGCTCTACCGTTTCATAAGAAACAGATTCTAAAAGCTCTGTTGTGTCCTCCCCTGATACATGACTGGAAGCATCCTCAACAGAAAAGGCTTCACTTTGGTCAGTAATGTCAGCAGTGTTACTAGCACTACACAGAATCCCAGTCCTAATTTCACTGACTGAGTGTTTTTTGTGTTTTCTGCTTTTATGTGAGCTGAATGTTGAACAGTTGTTTGTTTTAAATTCACAGCCAACAAAAGGGCATCTAATAGTTTCCTGAAGCTTAAGGTGACTTCCAAGATGTTTGAAAATATCTCCTTCTAAGCACAATTCTTGAAAATCACAAAATTCACATGTAAAAGTAATGCTGGACTGATGATCAAATTCACCTTTTCGATGAAATCTGGACAGATGTGACTTTAAAGCTCCTCGAGTTTTGAAGACACAAACACAGGTGGAATAGACACACGGCCAATGATGAGGTATTTTGTGATACAGCTCTAAGTGTCTGATCAGATTTTGTTGGTCCGCCTTAAAACTGCAAAACTTGCACTGCATGTGGTCACAATCTTCGCACCTGAAAAATACAAACATAAAACAATCAAAAGGACTTGATAAGATCATTATATCCAAACAGCAAGTGAATCAATCTTTTAGAAGGTATGTCTAAACTAAATACTTGAATACTAATAGTAATTTCCATGATTGAGAGAAATATGCAAATATAACTTTTATTAGCGATTTAGACTTAAAAAATGTTTCATAACTTGGCATAAATTGTCTAGTGTGACAGGGCCTAGATACAGACTTGAGGAGAAAAGGTAAGTTGTAAGAGCAGAGGGTTTTGTTGCTCATCTAAGCTCTGTAGTGAGCAGACAGATAACTGACGAGATGACTCCAATTGTCAGGAGTTTGTTATTGTGTAGTTTGATTTCATCAAAACCTTACTCAAAGTTTATTACACACATCAACAGGTTATATGACATGTCTGGTTTGTGTGTGAGTGCACATGCATTCACAGCACATGAAAATAAAAAATATGAATAAATTGTTTTTGCTATGTACAGAAGATGAAGATTCATCCCTTAGCAAAGAATAGTATACTTGAAGTTCATTTTAATAAGTATACTTGAGTATAAGTTTAAGTATATCAAGTATACTAGGCACCATGTACTTGTAGTGTACGAGAAAGTATACAAATTNGATCTAAAAGCATAATTTACAGCATGATTAACAACTTTATTTAAGTTTTATTTCTAGAAAGTGGTAGAAACTGTTTTTCATTAATTAGGATTTTTCTGGTTAAATAAAGGTCAATAAATGAATCTGTCAATTCATCCATCATTAGATTTCTGATCATTTCCAAACATCCATGTATCAGTTTTTCTTTATATTTACAGGATGATAAAACTGATGAAAGTTATATTTTATATGACCGCCGTTTGACACAGTGTCATTATGGTAAAAGGCTGCATGATGTCATGTCAGTTTGTTATGAGTAGACCTGTCATTTAATCAGAAAAATAAATACCCCCAATCTGTTCATTGTGTAGTTAATATTTTAAACATGCAGTTGCTTGGCACAATGACATGTTACAAATAAAACTAAATCAAGAACAAACAATGTAAAGTAAAATTATCCTCTAAAGTCATTGTTTGGTATAAATTGTGACAATTTCATTATCTGAGCCACAGCAGTGAGTTTAAAACCAGGATGATTCAACTACAATCTGTCTCTAATTTAGTTATTTAATCAAGTGTTTTTATGTAGGTAAAGTATGTTTAGGAACCTGGTAAAATACACCAGAATGCAGGCAACTGCATCTACTAATTTCAAAATTTTCTGGTGGAGGACTCCCAGACCCCCCACTAATGCCCCCTTCACACACATTACAATGCTTCTGATACTCATTGCTTAACCTTAGAGAGAATAAACCAACACACCTGTAGTGCACMAMCAAACTGAACTGTGTTCTATGAAAGTAGTTGATGATCAAACTGTACTCCTGGTGAGATTAAAGAGCTGCTACATAGTATAATGCAGGTGAACATCATATAGGTGTGATTGAGTACAGATTATTGCACCACAGCAGAAACATTTACTTTGTTGTTTATGAAGTGTGAAGAGGCAGGTTTTGATCRRTGAATACAAAATACAAAAATATTACATGCTAGTGCTACATCTTAGCCTAATTTTTTATATGTACAAAAATTGTGCMGGTCTTGGCCATTAAACTCCCAGGCTGAAAAGTTTCCCCACTCCGCCCCTGATCAGTGGCAGTTAGTGGAGTCACCTCACTGCTTGAAATTCCTGGTTTTGAAGTTCATCTGGAGCATTTCTGCTGAGTACTCTAG